TTTGGGTTCTTTAAGTATAGGAAATGCTCTCGTGTGACAGTCTTTGTGCCGCCTTCTTTCAGTCGGGGTATTTTTGATACATTCTCACTTCCCTTGAAGACATACGGGATTGTCTGGACATGTTTCATATTAGGTCTGACAGCTGGTGATTCTAGACCAATAATCACTCGCTCAGATCTGAGTGGGGCTCACAGTAATCAGTCACAGCAATCAACTCCATTGACTTCATTACACGCTGTAGCAGACGTCTCCTCGGCCTTTGAATTGATTATTGATCAGGTAAACAGGAAGGAACACCACTAACGCTCACACTGCTCAAGTTCAAACAGTGAGAGCGATGCTTATCTTTGTGCCTGACTTCTGTCATGATGCATGCTTGGTCAGCTTTAAATGAGCTGCAATGTCACATTTGTAGCATGAATGTGACACTTTGCTTTCTTCTTTTTCAAAAAAAAAAAAAAAAGTGAAGCAAAGACCCAAAAACAAAGCAACAGTGAAGCTGGGAGAGAAGGTGAGCTTTAAGTGCTTGAAGGAAAACTGAACTCATTCTAACATGGAAAACAAATAAAAGGCACAAATAAAACAATGAATGCAAAATACTCGGGAAACACATTTTAAATGAGTGCAGAAACAACGCGATGCAGCAGACTCACTCAGGTTATTCACACTGAAAGTCTTTTGTTCTTTACTCACTTGAAAGCATCGCTGCCGGTGTCTCGCAGTCTTCACGGTCCTTCTGTCTTGAAACAAACTGCAGATTTTTTTTGAAAGCTCCACACAGAGACCACACCTTTAATTCATCGCAAGGCCCCGCATCTTGCCCTTCACTCCCCCACCTACTTCCTCCAATTCTTTGGGGGAAGACCGAGATGTTTTTCCAGCCACAGGTTACACATCATAACACACCAGAAAAAGGATATTGAGGGGAGTGACGTAGCAAATGACTTTAAAGTCATCTCACATCAGCCATGCAGAGAGAATCACGAAGTTCTCTTTGCGAACAAGAACAAGAAAAAAACCACATGGTTTATGCTATGCACACCATGCCAAAGCACACACTGTTGTGATGTGGTTGACCTTTGACCCAAACACAAGGAAAGAGGAAACCAAAGAAACAGACTCAGAGCCAAAATTATGGTTTCAGATTTTAAATATAAACATTTTGCAATGTCATTCTGCAAATAATAAAAAACAGAAGTGTTTATCGCAACACTTTAGATTTCAGGAATGTTTCGTTTGAAGCGTTGCAATAAAGTACGTGCACGAATACGAACTGAGTGAAATAAAAAATCCCCTTCAGCACCAGGGCTGGAAACCATCTCACGCTTAACCCACGACGCTGTTACTTAACTTGACCTCATTCTTCTTCTTTATTTTCTTTGTTTTTATTAACCACTACATATATTTATAACATTTTTTTTTAACATCTATCCATCTCGAGCTGTTTCATTATACCACTATGAGGATTAAAACCACTTTGATTACAGCAGCTGACAGACTGTTTTGGTTTGGTTTCTTCGGTCTGAGACTGCAAATTCTTTGAACGCCACACACCAGTCACCTAAGGTCACACGGTTGTGGCCTAGTTACCTCAACGTGAGGATGACTGTACGCGCAAACATCCACATTATTCATTAGCAGGCATGCTCTGCCAGACGTCTGCTTCATCCTATTGGCTGACACTACTCACACCACATCCATGCGTGTTCTGTATACTAGTAATGTTACATAAGCTGCTGTCTGACCTGCAGTAACCTCACAGAAAGGGAAACACGGTGACATCACCATGTTATGGAGCATGTGTGAAAGTCAATGTTTTGGGTCAAACAGTTTGTGTCTGTGGCTGAATAGAAGCTAAAGATAAATACTGTACATAAACAAGTAACGAGTTTGGAGT